CATAGATTCATACTTCTGCTCTAGAAGTATTCACTAAATTCATTACTTACAGCAGTTTCGCTTAAGTTAATTTGAGCAATGTATGTGCCAAGAAGAATGTGCCTTCTTCTATTAAACAAATTCCTCAACCATTTAATTTAGATAATATTTAAGCACTTGTATTATTTGCTTATGCATTTTAGAAGTTTAAAACACTGAATCCTCCACCATGTTTACAAGCACATACCTGAATAATTTCTCTTACTATTAAAATGCAGTAGCCTTCAATAAAATTCTACAAACTGGTGCTGTCTAGTTTTGTTGGAACTATAGAAGACCTGTTTATTTTGGACTACATATCCAACTTATGGAAAAATACATCTTGAATATTTGACAGTCCCATATAGATATGGAAATTGTAGTTATGAATTAAAGATAAAAAATCATATCCACTGAACTATAAGCAAGCATCATAATACTTTTGTATTGATATTAGTCTAGAAATACTGTTTTTTGTTTTTGTTTTGTTTTGTAGTTGCTTTTGTTAGAGTTAACACTGCATCACTTCTTAACTTCGCACATTTCTCGGTTCTTTCTTTCCAGGGATTCCTAAAGTTATGATTGATCCATCTAACCCATATAGTGTATTTAAAAGCAACTCAACTTTTCTGAAAGGAAGCAGTGGCATGACCAACAGAATACCTGAGTCTGGTGGTACAAAATATCCTATCAAATTGCCATATATACCATATGTAATTACACCAAAGCCTTATGTGAAGACAACAGCAAGACCAACTGTGAAACCAACATACAAACCATATACTAGATTGGCAACACAACCGGCCACAACAAGAACAACTTTCAGGCCAGTGACAAGATTTCCACCAGTGACAAGTCCTCCCCAACCACCCACAGTTCCATTTAAGCCTGTAACAACAACAATGCCAATAATAGTAACTGAAGAGCCTCTGCCTTTTCCTAGTGAAACTACACCACAGCCAGGAATTACGGTTGACAATAGGATCCCAGTTGAGCCACAGAAACCCCGAGGAGATGTATTTAGTAAGTAAGGGTAAATTTTCTCATGTGTTGATGTGAAATATAGTTAATTAACTAGACTAAATTCATCAATGAGGAAGCAGGACTAGGAGAAGAGAGAGAGAAAGTGATGGGTTAAGATAAAACTATTCATGGGATTAAACAACATGTTTTTAATATTGATCCACAAGTTGACAGATCTAAAATTCTAAATTATGTCTCAGGGTATTTCTATACTATCACTATTACTGCTATTAACTACTTTTAAAGAATGAGTAAGAAAGGAATAATAAAAATGAATATATTTGTGTCTGGTGTGGAAAAAAATCTCTTCTCTACCCCTCTTAGTGCAAACCAGGATTATGCACTGAAGGATGGTTACAAAAGCACATAATTACTATTTGGAATATTGTATCACAGGATCTTGTATAATTTGATATTCTCCTGTTGCTCAAAATAAGATTTCTCATGCTGTCACAAACAGTGTAGACACATTTATGGAGAATAAGGTAATCTATATAGCTAATTATGGTAGTAGTATACTTCTAATATCAGATGCAATGTGAATATTATGTGATAAGGGACATGTGTTGGAGGATGCTGTTACTTTCATCATGTTTTGCATGTTGATTTCCCACTGACATTGGGCATTTGATCATTGTGGGAATAGAATGTTGGACTTGTAGCTTGTGGTCTATTCTAGGAAAATGTAGATCAACATGTCCAATCATAACAGATGGACATTTGAAAATCAAATGGAATGCAGTGAGATGGTCAGTTTGGCTATGAATTAAATAAAAAAACAATACTAAACATGTAATGGATTAATATTTTGGACCCAAATTTAATTTTCAAACATGTTTTTGAGAGACGTGTTGTTTCATGTGAATTCCCATAACCATCTTATGGCTACTTGCGCAAGAATCAAATGGAAAGTCAAGTTAAAAATAACTGTTGATTTCTGCTTTATGGAATGAGCTCATCAAATGGGAGACATTTGGACTTCATGATTCCAAAGGTGCTTCTTCATTAGGGAGCATCATTTAGACAGATGTCTTAAAAAATATTGCAGTACTTTCATGCCAAGTCAGCTTCATGCCACAAACGACATTTGATGACTTGCATGTTTTGGAATGCATGCCAAGAAATACCCCAGTGTTCTGTTTCATCTTTAGCATCACAACTGACATTAATTATAGTTTGTGAGTGTATTTGGAAAAGTCTTCTTTGGTGCCCAGAATAGTAACAGTGCTTAGCTAATAGAATATGAATTTTATTATCTTGTATGGACAAGTGCATTCCTGAATAACTTTGGGAGTGATTTTGGCTGTATTTCAGCAACTCCTATTAGCATACTTTCTTAACACAGTTTTCTCCCTCCCCAGAAAAGCAGTTTATTTGAATTTTCCACCTTTAATATATATTGTAGGTATAAAGTCCTCATAAATTAGGGGACAGAAAACACAGCAGTTAAGCCTGAGGAAGATGAAGGCATTATCTAAGAATACCCAATTTTTTGAAAAAAGACGTATTACACCATAATTCTCTGTAGGAATTATTAAGGGTTCTTTAAAAAGTATTTTGCAAACATTCTTACCCACATTCAGGATAGGACTTGGCCACCCAGAGCTGTTGGCTATGAGATGGACGGCAATAAATTAAATAAATAAATAAATCCAGTGAATGACAAAGTAAGTCAGTCAGTCAATCAATCAATCAGTCAATCAATCAATCAATCAATCAATCAATCCAGTGAATGAAAAAGTGAATAATATGTAAATTCCACGGATATCATTGTTTTGTTCTGTATTGCTCATATTGTCTAATATCCAATGCTGGTGGATGCTTAGTTTTATTTATGACATAAGAAATCTGAACTATGATTGGCAATATGGCACATTCACAAGATAGCTAATGTTCAGGAAAATCTGTTAGAATATTTATAATCCCCACACTGTGAGTCTTCTCCCTCTCCCTCCTGAGATGAGAACGGCTTCATCACATCTAAGATTCTGAAGGTCCCTCAAGATCTGATTATGCCAGGAGGTCTGGAGGCCCTGACAAGGTGAACTAAAGAGGTAGCTCCATTACTATTAACATCCCTGCATCTATTAGTCTTCTTTTAGCATTTTTACAGTTCTTTAATGGTTTTAATATTTTTAATGATAATGATTTTTAGATATGTTTTGTTGTATACCACCTAGATTCATTTGCTTGTGAGATGGATGATTATATAAATTACAGATAGACAGACAGACAGACAAACCTATCTGTAGAGCTAAAATCTAGACTCTCTATAAAACATTTTCTGGTCTGAAGTCATTTGATGCAACAGAATAGCAATATTTCTCCTCTCCTCCTCCTATTTAACTACACTTGCATACATAAGTACCTACTAATCATACTATTCCATTTTAGTTTAATATTGGATTTGGACAATACATAAATAATAAATAAGTTCTTGCCTCCCATTCCTTTCTATCAATGTTGACACATCTTAAAATTTCTCTGCCCATTTCCCTGTTTTTAATAAGCGTCTCACCTAGGTACACAATTTCATTTACTTGCTCTAATGTTTCATCATGTGCATATTTTACAATTATTCATTCAGTTTTCCAGAATTTAACATATAGCTTCTTATCTTCAAATGTTAAAAATGCTATCTTAAAATCAAAGACTGAGTTCATAATATATATATTTTCTGTTTGCCATGGTGTATAAATATATCAACTGGTTTGTAAATCTTATTTTTGGGGTAGGATAGGTACATGTCAGAGAGCCAGTTTGGTGTGTTAAATCATCAGGCTAGAAACTGGGAGACCATGAGTTCTAGTCCTGCCTTAGGCACAATGCCAGCTGGGTGACTTTGAGCCAGTCACTTTGATTCAGCCCTAGGAAGGAGGCAATGGCAAACCATTTCTTAAAAACCTTGCCAAGAAAACTGCAGGGATTTGTCCAGGCAGTCTCTGAGAACTGGACATAATTGAACAGAAAAAAAGAAGGTACATGCACTATATTGGGTTAAAAACAATTCGTGCACACACACACACACACACACACACACACACACACACATTTTGTCTCAATATAATACATATTATAGCCTGTGGAAAGGCTTTTGAGAACATATCAAGTTGGAACAGGTTTGGAACTCACAATTTAAGTTTCTGACTACTTTTCTGAATCTAAGCAAATGTTTTCCTTCAAAATGAAAGGCAGTGAAATTAACTGTACTCTGGCTTCTGAAGGTGTTTACAACTGACAGCAGTTTATCTTTCCAGTTCCATGTGAGCAGATGATACTGCTTCATAATGGTTAAACAGTCAAGTTCGCCACTTACTATTTAGTCAGGCAAATAAAATGGTGCAACAAGGTTAAGCTTGGAAGAACTGGAAATGCTTTGACTTATCAATTGATTATGTACCCTCAAATCAGTATTTAATCTTAATAATCACATGGGTAGACATCCACCAAGATAATCTGTTCCCATCCTAGGTTTTCAGGTTTCCTAACAGAATACCTATTGCTCTGTAATTATAGCTACCAATGTACTTTGTTGCTGATCATTCTGTTCTTTCTCTTCATCATCTTGGTAATAATCAGAATGCCGATCAAATTTCATCTTTCATCTGTACAGGTTCTTGAGAATAGGGAATATCTTCTAAAGTATCTTGGATGTTGACATCTCTACTATACAGAATTTCACTATGCTTCCATCCTGTTTTTTTTATTCTTCTTCTCTGAATCATTCACCTTGTGACCCTTAGCATATCAATTCAAATAATAGGTTTGCTGTTGTCTCTAAAAATAAAGACCATATACCTCCTTCTTCTTCCCATATTGCTGCTCTCTAATATAAGTGCCTGCTTGCTTTAGCTAGGCAGTTGGGATGACCTTTACACCATAGGTGAATTCTCATACCAACTTTTAGTTTTGGTATATACTCCTGGTGTTTTTCATTCTTACCCTCAGAAACTCGACTACCAGAATGAGGCGACAGGGCAGGTCTTGAGCGGGGGAGGGCTGGTATGCTTAGAAATCCATTAAGTTGCTCAGAGATGCAAGAATGCTTAATTAATTGAGGAAACTCTTTCATGAATCCACAGAATGTTAACCAATAAATCACTCAAATTAACTCTGTAGTCTTCTCTTTTTTATATATATCTAGGTGCTCTTTACCTACTGTGGTATTTAGTGCAGAATAATGAATTCCTATAGCCAAAGGAAAAGTTTTGTCAGAAAAGGCTTCATTATATATATATGTATCAGCATAGGCTTATTGTCCCTACCGTTTGTAAGATCTTAGGCATGTCTGCTCAGAACTTAAAAAAAAAATCAGTCGAGACTGTAAATCTGCAAGAATTACAACTTTAATGCCAAGGACTCAACACTCAGTTTTCTGCTGGTTTCTCTGGGAAATATTAGTTACACAGCACAAATAGTTTGGCATTTAGAGATATTGATATGAGTAGTCTAAAGCTATAATAATTGCATGTTATTCTTTAGTTGATATACATGAAATCAAAGGACCAGCTGTACAGTCTGCACGTGAAATTCCTTTCATGTTTTGGATTACATCAATTTGTCAAGCTTTCATGTGGCAAACAGCCTAAGGCATTATTCTTTCAGAAGATTTAGATCCTTTTGTAGGCCTAGCTCCAAATTAGGAGGAACTTTGAGATAAAAGTTGTGGACATTGAAAGGTAATTTTAAATTTAAGTGTGTTAATGCTATTATAGTTACGAACATTTTTTCAAAGAGAATGTCATAATGATTTAAATGGCAAAGATGTTCTCTCTACTTGCCTGTAGTATGCGTACTACTTGCCTCTTCTATAGTATTGTCAACAAGAACTTAGCCATAGCAAGCATATACAGATCTTGATTCCTGACAAAGTCACACACTTCATGATAATCATGTATAGGGGTATATATTACATAGGGTTAGGGTTAGGTTTGCTATACAGGTAATTCTTGGCTTAGAACCACAATTGGGACCGGAACTTCCATCTTTAAGCAAGACGGGACCTTAAGTGAGTCACACTAGATTTTGTTACCTTTTTGACATGGTTATTAAATGAATCACACGATTGTTAAGCAAATATCAGAATAACAGAGTTGGAAGGGAGTTTGGGACTCTTCTAGCCCAACCTCCTGCTCAAGCAGGACACTCTGTCCAATGGTTGTCTAATCTCTTCTTAAAAATCTCCAGTGATGGAGTACCCACACTGGCTTCCTCCACTGACTTCGCTTGCCAGAAGCTGGTTGGGAAGGTTTCAAATGGCAATCATGTGAACCCAGAATGCTGCAACGATTGTAAATACATCCTAGTTGCCAGGCACCCAAATCTTGATTACATGATCACAGGGACACTGCAACAATTGTAAGTGTGAGGATCGGTTATAAATTATTTTTTTCAGTGGTGTCATAACTTTGAATGGTTGTTAAACAAATAGCAATAGCGCTTAGATTTATATATCACTGCATAGTGCTTTAGAGCACTCTCTGAGTGATTTATAATGTCAACATATTGTCCCCAACAAACTAGGTCCTCATTTTACTGTCCTCGGAAGGATGGAAGGCTGAGTCAACCTTGAGCCTCATCAGGATCAAACTCCAGACTGTGGGCAGAGTCAGCCTGCAGTACTGCATTCTAACCACTATGCCACCAGGGTTTTAAACAAATGGTCATAAGTTGAAGATTACTTGTACTAGCAGATATAAATTGAATTCCAAAATTTCTGGTTGCTAAATCTGTACAGTTTTACTCTACAGAGGGTTCAGTAGCAGTGGTCACTGTAGCTAGCAGCCTCCTATTGCCCTTTTCCATGTAGAAATTCCATCTGTTAACTAGGAGTGGAGAAACTAAAGAGAGATAACTGAGGAATATTGCAGGATTGGGATTTGATCATTCCTGCATATGGAGTAGAGTAGGGACAGTCCGTCTCCTTTTCCTGAAAATTGGAAAGGAGCATTAGGGGGAGGAGAGATTGTCCTGGAAGGGAGAAGGTTCACAGGGAACCAATATTCCAGTGGTGGCTCACCAGATAGTCTTTACTGAGACAAAGTTTGCCTTTCAAAATGGTTCATAAAATGGGCACATTGTGTTGGGCAGGAGGGAAATAAATTTTAATCAAAATTTCATGTCTTAATTTAAAAATAAAATGCACGCTACATGGAATCATTTAAAATAAAACTATTGTGGATCATGGCAAAATTCATACCCAGATACCAAATAACAGCCTATCACATATTAGATGTTCAAGCAGACTGCTCTCTATAAGGCCTGTGTCTGAACAATTACAATTAAAAACCAAACCTATCTTAGTGAAAGAACAGTTGCCATGACTTATCTGGGCCTTGACAGCATTCAAGGAATGAGTTTTTCTTTTTATTAGTGAGAACAGCAGATGTTCCACATTTTTTCTCCCCCAATAAGAGGGATATTAAAAAACATATTTTTCTACAGTGCTTTTAAGTTAGGCTAATTTCTGATATTTTACTCAGGTGTTTTAAACGATTCACATCTTTCATCATTTTAAATATCAGAGGTTGATTTTATTATTTACTTCTGGTTTTAGTATCATATTTTATTACAAACTACCTTAAGGTTGTGCTGACAGCACATATATCTAAGAAATAAATAATACTATATGCCACCCAAAAAAGCTCAATATCATTGCTGTACCTTAATTATAGTAGTCATGTTTTTCCAAGAAAATTAAAATGGCGTAAATACAAAATGTTTTTCCTTTGTGTAGGCAAGCACAATATTCTTAAGCAATGTCTACCTCAATATACAGTATTTCATTAAAACATCACTATTGTATTGTTTAAATTGGGAGTTCACATGACTGATTATCTGTAATGTGGTTGGATTTTAGCAAAAAACTGAAAACAGAGCAGTTTCACAATGGAAGCTGAAACAAAGATCTGATTGAAACAAACTAGCACGCTAAAAAGCTGTTAGGAAGGAAATGCAAGAGGGTCTGAATATGGTTCTCTCTTTATAGTCTTCTTTATGAGTCATAGTAGTTGGTTGTGGCCTCTATAATTATTACTTAGCTCAAATCCTTGTATTTCTTACAAGCTCACCCAAATGGCTTTTGCAGTGAAGCTTGACAATAGGTTGGTAAGTAATCTATGTAATAATCTGTGGTTGACTTCCTTCTCTATTTTATAGTTTTTTTTAATGGCTTGATGGTTTCCTCTTCCAGTTCCCCGCCAGCCTGGAGTGAACAATAATCTCTTAGAAACATTTGAAATTGAACAAGGGATAAGTGCCAATGAGGATGAAGCAAACGATGATCCAGGTAAGCACTTTGTCCCTTTGGATCTAGATAGCATTCTAGAAAGCAGTGTGAAACGGAAAGCATTACTGTTTATTGTGTACTACTTTCCTAACAATATGTGTGCTACCAGGCATATGTTAATACTTATAAGTACAAAACAGCTGTGCTGTAAAACAAGAACTCTACTTTTTGAAAGCCATTCCTTGAATTCTGATGAAAGTAGTAGAATAAATCTAATGAAATCTACAGAACTTTATAATTTGTCCCAAGATGACAAATTTTAACTAAATTGGGTATCCCATGCTTTTCTAAAAGCAGAAATAAAGAGAAGCGCACTGTAGGAAAATGGCTTAGAATTCCTTAGTCTTCATCAATTGATGCACTAATAAAAGCTTCTCCTTTTTGCAAATGTGATTAATATATTCTTTACATTGCTTGACTCCACATAATAACCACACACTTAGCTTAGCCTCTACCAATCTAGTTCCTTACAAAGCATGTTTATAAAGGAGTGAGTTAATCTGTCTCAAATCTGAAGGTCTTTTTATTGATTTTTCATCTCTTCTCTGCAGGTGTTCTGATTCATAGTTGCAACTTTGATGGTGGTTTGTGTAGATGGATCAAGGAAAGAAAAGATGATTTACATTGGGAACCTGTTAAAGACTCCTCAGGTATTGATTTCCTTCCATTTAAGATAGGGCTATCTGATAAGCAAAGAATCAGAAATAAGAAAAATCTTGGCATATAGTTTCTGGCAATTGATTTATTTGGAGCTGAAAAGTGTTTCTGTTAGAATTTTGTTAAAATTTGTTAGAGTTTTGTTTCAGCTTTCCTGTGTATATAAATTTTCAAGGACCATTTTCTTTGGACTATTTCTTGAATAGAAAAGTTTAAAAAACAGTATGTGAACTACACAGTAATACATCTTAAAGCAATTTCCTTGCACATTTATTCAGATTTTTGTTTCTAAAGCATATTAGCATTTACTTCTTTTCTTTATAATTGACAATGTTTCATGTGAGAGTATAACTAAATCTAAATCTGTATGGCCTATTATGTAGCCGAAGCTTTGGAAAACTACTTACTTATAATTTGTGATTCTGAATATGGATTTTATACAATTAGTTATACTGAGACATCTCAAGTCACTTGAATAGGGCTTGGACAAGAATCACTTTGGGAATTACAACTAGATAATATAGCCACACAGTACATGGAAGACTAATTAAGATGTTAAGCCTTTTAATGCTATGCCTTTGTTTTGTTATTACCACATTTGTATAAAAGATATGCATTCTTTAGAGAACTTTTCTAACTTGAAATATTAAAAATAAAGTATATATATATATATAAAATATTGATAGTATATTTATGTGGCATGGCAACTTCAGTAGACTTTTGAATTCTCATGAAAACATCAGTGAAATAAATTACTACCTTTTTGACTCATTCCTGTCTTCCAGTTCTCCTCTAACAGTTGATAGCTTTTGCACAACATATTATTTATCCTGTCATGAAGAAGTACATGGATGATTAACTAATGGCAAATGTTAGGTATATTTCTGGAATTATGGCTCTAGATACTATGTTTACAGATGATGATTGTTGCATAAATGGACATGTTTAAAGTTACCTGAAATCTATGGATATAATAAACCTGCACATATCCAAAAGAGAAAGTAGAAAATTTAC